ACTCACTTCTACATCCTTCCACAATACAACCTCCAACAGTCTCCTCACAATACAACCTCACTCTAACACTCTCTCTTTCCAACCTCTCTTCATGGTGTTTCTTCCACACTCTCACCTACTACACTCTCTTTCCAACCCTCCAAAGCCGATTGTCAACCGGCTTTTATACACAAATACAACAATGTCTATGCAACAATGCTAAACGCAACAATGGTAAACGCAACAATTATAAATGAATACAACAATGTCATTAAACAGACACAACAATGCCAGACACAATAATGTCTAACGCAACAATGGTTATAAACAAATACAACAATGCCAAATACAACAATGTCTATAAACGGTTACAACAATGCCAGACGCGACAATGTCAATAAACAGACAACTAAACTGTTTATTGACATTGTTATGCTGCTCTCAAAGCAACACGTCACAATATACTTTGAATGGTTTGCCCTCTCCAGTCTTCATGGAAGTGACCATTACCCTACTACAGCATCCTATCTTGAAGATCCCCATGATACAAACTGAATAATGAAAGGGGCTGAGTGGGTTTAGTTCTTTGCTTGTCATACGATACCGGTGAGTTTCTGGTTGTCGATTCTATGTTCAAACACTTTACAAGTACCAAGCTACTCACTCCTGCATTCTGAGGTCTATCACCAAGTCCAATCCTGTCCTTTGATTTACAGACAAATGTTCCAGTGTTATTTGTATTGGCCACTGGTCTTGAAAAGACTTTCAGTAACTACACCCTCCATATCTAAATAATACCCATAAAATATTCTTACCTTCTGCCTTCTTTCTGGACCTTGTATTTTGACATGTTATTTTTGCAACCCTACCTATGGCAGCTTTACTTTAAGTGTGAGCAGTCACTCAGTATTTCAAAGGCTTCTGGTGGTTAACAGATGTGCAGGCAGAATATTGATGCTTTAGCTGGTTCATGCTCTGCTCTAGTCTAAAATTGACTACAGCAGCTTTGTGTATTGTTCTACTTTAAAATGCAAGCTGTGCAATGTTAAATGTAAGTGTCCTGTTGTGTAAACATATTTTAAAAATATAAATAATATTTATATTTTTGTGAAGCAATATTTTTTCAATTTATTGACAAAATCAGATGTTTATGAACTGCATGTTTTAGCCTAATGAGCCACCCTTAGGCTCTTTACAGCAAGTAGAATCTTGGAATAGAAAGTTGTGAATCATAAAGTGATTATATGGACATATCTATTTATTTGTTTGTGTGTGTGTGTGCACGTGTGTGTATTAGAATGTTAATGTAAAATATATAAATTAAAATTATCTTGTTGGATTCAACATTTGTCATGTATACAAATTTCTTTTTCTCTGTTATCTAGATAAAATGTATGGTTGTCCTTCCAAGCAAATGCCAGATTGGACCTGTGAATAGGTTATCACTGCTTTTGATGTGCTTTTCAGTTCATAGTACATAATCACCCACTAATCACATGCATCATAATTAAATAACCAACAAACTACATTGTAATTATATGTGTTTCAGATGACTTTGCTGTCTCCAAATGTGAAATTGGAACCACTAGAAATGGATGTTGATCTAGACACAACACTGCCTGCCATTACTCCAAACTACAAACCTCTTCCACATTATAATCTTTTGGACTCTCCACCACATAGAAAATTGAAAAACTTAACAGAAGAAGAAGCACTAAGCCAAGTAATGTCCACCAAGAACCAGAGGTGAGTTAGCATGTATATGAATTATTACTGAAATGTGTTATTATGAATATCATTCCTGTAGCCTACTTAAGTACATTTCCTGGCCATGTATTTGACGAGCTAAAGCTCAGTACTTGTTGAATTTGGGTTGGATGCCTTCTGTGGCACTGGAGGTCTGTTGGGATTCCCCAATTTTACTAGTATAGTGGTCACAGTAGTTTTTGGCCGGTGGAATACTCAAGAGGAAGGCTGGGAGCGAGTCACTTGTACGATAGTATAATGTTTCGTCTGCCTCCAGGAAGAACGAGGAGCTTATCGAACTGAAAGCCCAAACAAAACAAATACACTGACCGAGCCACCTCAAGTACACAGAGTAGGTCCATCCGCCAGCTCTGCTAGCTTCTCTGCTGGCCAAAAACTACTGCGTCTGCTATACTAACCTGTAGAAATACATGAATATTGTATTGTAATGGTAATACCCAGACAAGTGTAGTTCATCTTACCTACATTTGTTTCAGAACCAAGGTGTATTCAGGGGTCAAAAGTGGCAAAAGCTGGACAAATGCTCCTTCACTATATGACATCTGTGTAAGGGTGCTACAGGAAAATATTGATGGTAAGTCAGAGAGATTTTGTGTTATGGTAAAGCATTGCTGCTACTTCAGTCCGTTGATACCCACACCTCATCATTTCTTTTCTTCAACAGATATGATATCTCCGGTAGGATAAGTAATACATTTAATTTGGTAAATAATGTGACCTTGGCTTAGATTTGAGATGGATGTTAGAAATCTTCAGGGATTACGAGGTAGGAGGATATATGGCTGATGGGAATAGGAATTATGGAGGACTAGTATGAACTGTACAAACTGAGGAAGACCATGTAAAGAGTGTATGAGAACTCTTTATTATTTTCCTGCAGTTCAAATTTTGGGTATAGATAGTAGTGGTATTGCTAGCGTATTAAAACTTCCCACCACTACTTTCTGAATCTGTATAATTTATACTGAGTAATTATCATCATCATTTAATATCTCAGAGCATGGCCTCACATTATGCTGAAGTGACATATTTATTACGTAGTCTCATAATAGATGCTATTACTTAAACTCACTTTTACTTTTATTAAATAATTTTTAGAAAGCTCACACCTTTAGCCAGTCCCTTACAATGTATCCAACCATGTTTTCATCGTATTTGTGTTTTCGCCCAGTAAATTAATGCTATCAGCTCAGTGCTTAAGTTGGTGTATCCCATTCAGTTCCATTCCTCCTGATCTTCATGGATTTTGTTGAGGGCAACAGAACTTCGTGTTTCAGACAATTTGGAATGGATGAGGCAAGTGGTTGTTTATTGCACATATATTTTAAACATAATATCTCAGTCATGAATCAGCTGACTAGAGAATGGACTGAAAATAACTGGCTAAAAAGTGAAATTGAGAATCATTTCTTTTTACATACTTCAAATTCATTTTCTACAGTCATCTTACTCTTTCATTTGATAGTACATGGTCTCATAAGTTGGTACAACATTATAAAAAACAAATAACCAAACAAGTTAAGTTTGAAGTGATCTGCTATTATGATATTCTGTTCAAAATGAATTCTACAAACTATGTTACTTTCAATGGTACTGATGTCTGTGTTTGAATTATAAGACTGAAGAAGCAGGTGAATTTTGAATAAAATCCTCCTATCCCATTGTTTCATTGGTGTTCCGAAAGTTGATGGTTGCTGCTAAAAGAAAGTGCATTCAGTTTGATGAGCTCTAATCTAAAGTATATTATGTGACAGACAGCATATCAGGGCTTTCATACTTTTTCAACCCCCAGACTGTAGACTACCTGAACTTGTTTGTCTCTGTTAGGTGAGATTTACAGGTTACCCACTCTCTCATGTTTGTAGATGACCTTGAACTTTCATTCTGTGCAAATAACATCCGTTTAAAATTAATAAAATTTAGTTTGAATACAGAGAATATGTGTGGATGCTCTAAAAAGCATTCTCCTGACTTATAGTTTTTGCATCTTTTTTAAATGCATGTCAGGGTTTTATAAATATTTAAAATTATAATGTAAACTTGATGTCTTACAGAATGATCTCATTTTAGAGCATTTTATGAATGAGGGAACTACAGTAATGTAGAGCCATTCCTTATTATTTTCAGCTCTAGAGTACACAGGAGGAGTGCCATATGACCTTCTGAAGCCAGTGCTGCAGCATGCCACACCAGAACAGCTGTTTATGCTAGAACATCACAACCCATATCTTATTGAGGATACAGGAGAACTTTGGCAGTTCCACTGCCAGCGAGAGTTCCGCACAAAACAGCGTCAGGACATGGAAACAGCGAGGGAAATGTATATGGCAAGTTGGATAGCTGTGATCTTACAGTTGGGTTCTAGGAGCACAAAAATTTTGTTCTAGTATTTTGCATTGAATTATTGGCCTCTTCAGCAGTTTCATGCATGCTTGTACTCAGATTTGTTGATACCTGATGAAGCTCATATTGCATCTTCTGCTGTTTGAGACATTGGCCTGTTCACAAGCTTCAGGCTTAACAATACTCAGATTTATTGATGTCTTAGTTCATAAGTGGTAATTCTTGGCTCTGAGGATTTTATGTGCTCATACCTATGTATTCGTCCCATTTTATTTTGTAATGTAGCATTGTAAACAAATGAAGTTTTATGTAGAACTCAATCCTAATTTAAGGTGTTAAAATTCAGGAATAATGTGGGGCACATTTGAGTAGTGAACCAGTACACTACAGTGCAACTTATATGTAATAAATGTCTGTAAGATATCCATTTACAAAGTTTGTATTTGTATTTAGATATGCTACAGTATTACATGTACACAGTTCATCACTTCTGTGAATGTTAGTTGCAACCATCGAGGTCACCCCACAAAAATTTTCCATGTGCTCAGTTTAAATCACCGTGGTAAGTTGTAGGTGTTGATTTTGAAGTCATAGGGTCCCAGTTTCAAAAAGGCTGGAATTGTAACTCATTTTATCCATTTATTGCTGTTCCTGCATAATGGAGGTCTGATGTTACTAAGTAAGATTTATTATGGCACTTGGGTCACTGGTGTTAGCAAGAAAGATACTTGTAACAGGTGTAAGTTGCTTTGAATACAGAGGCACTAGAATTCAGTTTGCAGGACCCAATGGAATTTCTTGGTTTATATCTGACCTGTCCACTGTGCAACTGATACCACTAGAGGGCCAGTTATAGTTCATAATTCTGGATTTTATAAATGAAAGTGTTCTGCAACAAGGAACCATGACACACTTTGTTTTCAGATTTTGAACAGATCACACATCACTTTGTCCATGTCATCATTTATAAATTACAATAGCTAACTCTTGACAAATTAAATATCAGGTTTTCTCAAAGCCTATAATAAGTAAATCCAGGACTTTTATAATAATTGGTGTAGTTTTAGACTTTCAGATTGGGAGATACGCAATTAATATAAGCAATTGTACAACTGAATCTTGTCTCCAAATGGTTATACAATCAAAATAACTGTTTTGAGAAATCCATATTTCATGTTTTCTTGAAAAGAATACTGTGTCTTATCATAATGAGAAGAGCCTCTTATCCCAGTGATTTTTCCACAGTGATTTGCACCTTTAATATTCTTTCCTGCCACTGTCATCTAAGCTCGTAGTACACCCATCCCGTAATTGCTTTGAGACGAGTCCTTGCGACTTTGCAAGCCCAGCAACCATGTATGTTAGGTACATGTAAACAAGATGTTTACACTGAAGTCATGATCGAATGCTAGTGCCACCAAAGAGAGGTGGTGCATGGGTTACTTACATAGTCCTTTATGTATAGTGGTATGTGTGTACAACTAAAGAAGTATGTCTCCTGAGTTTTGGTGTAGTGTTACATTACAGTTCTTTTATATATGATTTGTTCTTAATTTGTAGCGGTGTCTGGATGAGCGGGAAGCAAAATTAAAAGCATTGACTACCAACATTCAGCAGTCCATAGCAAAGTCAACACCAGTCCGGCAAACAAAACTGGCTTATGTGGATAGTGTTGCAAAACCTCCACGAAACGTTGCAAGACAGCAGGTGAGTTTCGAGTCTGTTTGGACATATTACACCCCTTCTTTTGCCAATTCAGTGAAGGGAAGTGGTTTAGTTCACAGTAATGAAAGTAGGTGTGATGTACACTTGGAAGTTATACAGGAAGAGAATCCTAAATAATAATGTTTATGCTTTTCTTAGCTTACTTTTCCTATTTAGAAGGAAAGGTATCTGATACACCATCCCTCCAGCAACTACTGAACCAGCTGACTAATTCTCATGAAATTTTGTATGATGCTGATGCCATTGGAGACCATATAACGTTCGTACTTTTTAACTGTGTCTCTTCATTCATAGCATTGACAGTCAGCGTACTTCTGGGGTAGTATGTTGATATTCAGAATATGTATAAAAAAATTGTATTATATGGCTAAAGTACAGAGTTGTTTGTGAATATGGAAATGGTGGCAAGTTGTCACGTCTTTGCGGGCAACATGTTGCCCACGAGTTATATAATAACCATGTTTTGTGATTGGTATGGCAATGATTTTTTTTAAAGAGTTGACACATACAGACCTAAAAAAGTCTGTTGTTTGTCTCAGGTGAGCTTAAGTCTGTGCTTGATATGGATTCTATGAGTGATGCAGCACATGTCCTATCAGAAAGTGTATTTGTATGATTGGTCATGTGAAGAGAAGGGTGAGCAATGATGCATTGTTGTATCCTTTCTAGGCAAAGTATGGGACAGCTCGTGTTACAAAGCCCAGTGTAGTGCAGGCAAAAGCTGCTCGAGTGGCTGGAACAGGGGCCACTCCAGTTCCTACACCCACACGACACATCCAGTCAGGTAGGATTTTCTCTTGATGTTACATCAACTTCAGAATCTGTGTAGTGTGTAATGAAAGGTGGAGGAATGATCATGAATGGTAAATTGGAGTGTTGCATAGGAAGCATGTATAACTGGCAGATGTCATAAGATTTTGAGCTGGATTCCTTTGAACTCTGACCCTGGAATTTCAGCACTGTGAATGTTTTCTTAAACTATAAAATGACACTTTTTGCATTGAAATATTCATTTAGTTAATTTATTTTTCTGTTTACCTATGCCAGTTCTAGTACATCATCATTAGGCCACAAATGCATCTCTTGTGTTGTACAGGATTATTCATAATTCCCTGACACATTGCAAAAAATCACTAGACTTGAATGGTGCAATGGATGGTAACATAGGACATGCCGATAGAAAGAGAAACTCTCCAAGTTTATTTTACATACCTCAAAATGCTCTATGTGTCCACCTCTTGTGACGTGGCAGATGTCAAGCCGATAATCCATTTCCACCAGTACTCATTGCAGCATGTTACGATCGATTTGTGAGTTGGCAGCGATAATTCGTCTTTGCAGCTCAGGTAGATACTGTGGCAGAGGAGGTAGAAAGACCTGGTCCTTAATGTACCCCGATAATAAAAAATCACTTGGCGTCAGGTGAGGTGATCGGGGTGGCCAACGAAACAGTTCATGGTCATTGGCAGCCATTCGTCCAATCCAACATTGTGCAAATGCTGGTAGTGTGGTGGAGCCCCATCTTGCTGATGAATGAAGTCATCGCTGTGTTCATGAAGCTGTGACATTAGCCATTCCTGCATCATCTCAAGATAGGATGTGCTGGTGACGGTTGCCTTGGTGAAATGCCTTCTCTGTTGCTAGCGTCACCATTTTCACTCAACTAAATCTCATACGATATGGTGATGTACAAACCTGCACCCTGGCGGCCACCTATGAAACTAAGTGCCCGTGACATGTACAAACAAACTTGAGAGTTTCTCTTTCTATCGGTGTGTTGCATGTTGCTATCCTTTGCACCATTCAAGTCGTGATTTTTTGTATTTGTCAGGGAATTATCAATTACTCTGTATATATACTAAATATGTGCTGTCACATAAGCATAATTTATTATTCTGATTTGTTGTAATACGACCATTACATATTATTTGTACATTTTTGCATGCCATCATTTCTGAACATGACTGTACTTCATAATCTCTCCCCGCCCCACACACACACACGAAATTTATATACAGTCAAAGCAGCAAGTGGCTTGTAATGCGCAGCATACGTTGTTGTTGTGCTTTGTTTCCGTACAAAAAAGTAATTGTAAGAACACCAGCACAAGAGACTTTAATAGGTTATTCTGGATTACACAACTTAAAAAGAACTTGGATATTGAACTTTTACTGTTTTACCTGTAGGTATAATGGTGGTATGGGGATCATAACTCAGAATGTGTATAAAATATTATTCATAAATCAACAATTACAAACATGGTGGCATTGTGAAACGTTTGGTTTATATTTCACACATTTAACAAATCCATAAGAAGTTCCTCCAAAAAATATGATGACAGTGATGGTAATAGTAGAAGTAACAAGAATTTACTCACTAGTCCACATGTTGAATTGCATTGTGTTGTTGGATTATAAAATTTACATTACTTATATAACACAATGTTGCCCTCGGTGGACTAGTGGTTAGCGTGCTTGCCACTGAATCCAAGGTTAGCGGGTTCAAACTCAGCCGAGGACGATGGATTTTTAAGGGTGATGAAAATCTGTAGCAAAACTTCCTTTGGAGGGGAAGTAAAGCCAACAGTCCCATGTCGTAGATTTACGGCATGTAAAAGAACTTCACAAGCATGAACGAGATGTTTCGTAAGCAAAATTTAGCAGCCATTTTATTACACAGGTCTCTCCTGATTCACTACTAGATGGCTCTAGCAGACAAATCAGGATTGAGTAGAAATTGTGCAGAGGCAGTGGGCTTGTCACTCACTACTCATAAATGCACGCTTCAAAGAAAAAGAAACCGCCCACATGGGAGGAGGCTTATTTTAAATTATTGTCCCAGAATTTGACTGGAGAGCAAGTCATTAAAAGTCTCAGTCAGTAATCATTCTCCAGGCCAAGATGTAAACTATGGACCTCTTGAATGTGCAGCTGTATTTTTATAACCACTACACCATGACGGTGAATTGAGTCTAGCTTCTCACAGTTTCATTTCAGGATTATTTCCATCTTCTTCAGTAACTTCAGCTGCCTTCTGAGATTATATATTAAAATAGGCCATTAACTGTTTCTTATCCATAATTATCCTTCATGTCTTATCCATTGTTATAAAAATAAACAGTTAATGCAGCATCATTAAAGTTTGCTATATTAACGTACTGTTTATTATCTGTTCCCAGTTACCAAGGCAAAGCCTCGTATGGCTCCACTGATGCAGAAGACTATGAAACTTGTTAAAAGCTTCAAGCGATAATCATTCCTGGAGCTGTAAGGAATTGGCCTGAGATTGGGAAGTACTCCGGAATGAGAGGACTAACACAAGTATGTAACCATAGGAAGCTTGTGCCTTACCACTCACTGCAGGTTTCTTCTACACGGCTTGTTAACATCCATTTTATACTTGTTAGTTTTTGAAGAAGTGTGTACAGTCGTGTGACATCTGGTGTGTACTGTGGCGGATGCAAGTATGCATGTGCATATTATATGAAAGCCAAATTAGTGTTTATCAATTTACCAGTCTGATCACAGTAACATCCAGGGTTTGAAAAATTGTCAGGGTACTGTGTTCCTCAATAGCAGACTGACATATGTATTTCTGAAGTTTGCTGCTCCAAGTTCTGATGAATAAAATCAAGGGGGTTGATACAAAAGAATGTAGCTTAATTTTTGTAACCTGTATTATTTACAAATTTATGTCAAAATTGCATTCAGAGAGGCTGTAAATGTCTGTTCATGCTAATTTTATACCAAAACATTAAATGTTGTGTGCTGAATCAAATGGTAACAGAGGAGTATTGTATATGTGTATATAAAATTCTTTAGAGATACGCCCTTTTTATGACAAAGCCTTAAGTTATACTGTTCTTTTTGAAACCATTATTTCATATTGTGTTACTATTTAAAAATCGATCTCTTTTCTTTTTCTTCAGTTCACGGATTAGGCCGATGGCCAGTTCCGATTGGCGTCTTTTATGAATTATAATTAACATTCGCTTCCCTTTTTGTGAGGAATTTTCCAGTGCTGTTTATTATGACATATCTGTAAATTTGTTCCATTAGAGGATAGTGTTGAAATGTGCATGAACGGCTGTGAACAAAGGAAACATGCATGCATATTGCTGGTCGTAAATTAACTAGTGAAGTAAATGTACACTAGGTAAGTTTGTAATTTATTAGTCAGGAGATTATAGCAGAGTGCATTCTGGTTTCCTCCTCATGTAATGCCGCTTCTATACCAGGTTTGTGTAATTTGCACAGGGAAACCTCATTAATGCAGGGGTCAGTGATAATTTGTTTTAAAGGAGTTGGCAGAATTTGTTTTTTATTCATGGTCCACACATTAGCAGTGTATAGGGTTAGGAAGAAAAACACTAATATGTGGGGTGGCACGTGAATTGATGCCTGATTGAAAGCTTAAGTAAAGGCTTTAATGTTCGTATCGTGGTGTGAACACGATAAACAGTTCATGGAGATTTTTCCTTATGGATTACATGCGCAATATGACTATCATACTGTCATGCGACTTCTGGAACGTGAACGGATAACTCGACAGCACGTATCCTCTGTAATTTGACAACACTTTTAAAAGCCCCAAGTTCCATTATTGAGGCTTTTTTTCCCTCAGTTCTTTATGTAAAGGAACCTCAGAGGAAGAAGTCGCAGGGGTTTATGTCTATGTTATTGGGTGACCTCATAAGTCCACATTCATGGGTAGCAGCATATCAGTGGCGGCCCAGTAGCCATATTGTACAAACTCGCCATGTGGTGTGCCACTCTGTAGAACTGGTATAGGGAGTGAGCGGTATATGTTTTATAGATCATTCTACTTTCCCGCTGGTGTGCTAACTGTATTACCTGTCTTCTGAAGATCCCCTGCTATCCAGATGAAAATTACTAGTTTAATATTCAGGATTTTGTTGGAAGTTTTTCCTCTGTGCATTCTAATTGTATCTTATACTTTATATTAATCTTTAAGAGATGGGAATTTAAATTTCCTTGAGCTACCTCTTGGCCATCTTAAAATCTTGCGTACTGTGCAGTGTATTGATATATAAATCATGCATACAAACAAAAACTGTTTACACTTTGAAAAGACACTTAGTGCCAAACACGTTTCAACCTAAGGAAGTCATCATCAGTGGAAAACAAATTAATTGATGATTTAATATGAACTAATTTGTTTGCCACTGATATGACCTCTTCAGGTTGAAAAGCGTTTGGCACTGAGTGTCTTTTCAAAGTGTAAACAGTTTTTGTTTGTGTGCATGATTTTATATAACTCATGGCCAGTTTAAATTGACTTTTAAGCACTTTAGAGCGCAGAGAATCATGAAGTAAATTGTAGTCTGTTCATTGACGTTTTTAACCCAGAATTTTTGAATAAAATTTACAGACTGTCAAGGATAAATCAATTTTCCCCAATGTAAAAGAATTGAAGCAGGCTGAAACCACAAATGTTATATCATATTTTATCAGTTTTTACTGGAAGAGGTGATTTAGTTTGATTTTGATATTAATTTGGAGTGTTTAACTGAGAATTGTGTTAATATTGAAAAATATGTTTATATCCATGAAGCTGTTTGTGCTAAGTATTCTAATAAAAATTATGTAAAAAAACACATTGGCCAATTCTGTAGAGATATATTTTACTCATAAAAATTCTTGTTTCCAAAAGAAATTTATAGATTTAGGAAATAAAACATTTTATGCATTTGAGTACAAATGTACATCAAATACATTTCTGGCAATGTTCCCTTCCCATCTAATGGAACTATTTGTATGAAAAAGTTATTTTGTACTTTGCAGTTTGAAGACTTAAATTTTATAGTTGTTTCGTCTTATCTGAGCACATACGGCAGCACAAGTGCTAAGACAGAAGATTCAATTTCCAGTGGTCTGTTTTGCTGGTAGCCAAATGGTGTTATGTCTTGCCGTTGTTATACATTTGTTTTTCTTGCGTTAACTTCATCGACAGCTTATACTGGAAAAGTTGTGAAAGGCAAAAAAGATGCACCATTGAAGAACCTCCGTAAAGTAGTCAAATTCAGAAAACATGAATAAAAAAAGCAAAATATGTGAGCACCACAGAGCTCATCAGCCAGCACAGTCCAACTAGGGCTTGGTATCATTTGGTAGCACAGGTCAGTAATATGAAAAAAGTTAATATATGTTCTTTGCACACAAAGTGCATAGTTAGAACACTTTATGGGCTGGTTGCATTTGTCTGTCTTGCTGATTCAACTCGAAAACCACTGGACAAATAGAAGAGACCACATAGGTTGGCAATATTAGGGTGAATGTTGAAGAACCTGTGTGTGACGACATGAACTAGATTTACCTGTCTTAGTATAGTGTCCAGTGGTGCTCTGTTGTGAACACTCATAACCTTTTTGGTTCCATAAGGGGCAGGGAATTTTTTGGGTAACTTAGATACTATCAGCTTCTCAAGAATAACTCTGCTCAGTGGAGTTTCATTGCACGGTACATGCTTTCCAAAGTCTTAAATTATAAAATATGATTTCATTTGTCGGTTACTTCACTATGAATGCAAATATTAGATTGTGTCCACAAGCTTTTGTCTCATTGTGTAGCCTCTTTTCATCAAATTACGCCTTATCATTTCTTCTTATTTTATCAAATGCTTCAATGTAGCCAATAAAAGCAATGTTTGTTTTCTCTCAGTCTGCTCTTTCTTTTAATCCTTCAAACTAGAACTTCAGCTACCATTATTTATATTATCCACTTAAAGCTCTTTTTATTCTTGCTCTGCTTCTTTTGAAATTACTCTGTCATCTAAATAGTTATTCAATATTTTTATGTATAGTAATCTTCTTCTTCTTCTTCTATGGCTCTCCGGTCCGTATTCGGTCCATGGCCTCCTCAATTCTCCTCTTCCATTCGGTCCTCTGTTAGGTCCGTCTGTCCGAGGCTTTGATTGAGGTTTCGAAACATCTTCCTTTTTACGGTGCAAGGTTGTTAGCCTTGCGACCAACCCCCAACCTGGAGGACCAGGGTACCTGTCTTAGTGTGACCTCTCCCCCTCAACCAATCTGTCTAGGGAGGCCCTACCAGTAGCTATGCTACCGCCAGCATAGCTCTTGGGGTCACTGAGGTACTCAAGCCCCACCACCACGACAAGGTGCAGGTACCATTAAGTGGGGTTACAGTAATTTTACTGGTCCTTTTTATAGCATTTATACTTTGAATACTTATTGTTTATTTTCTACTGTATTTTTAATCTTCTTAACCACATTGCTATGAGTTTAATTTTACATATTGAAAGAGACCCTCCTCACGTAACACTGAGCATGTTCCGCCAGAATGTTTGAATGCAACCAGAAGACCACAGTCACAATTTTGAAGTACAAACCAATATAATTCTAGATTTTCAGACAGGCATTGCTACTGCTGACTTTGAATGAGGTTTACTCTGAATCATGTATTGTTAAGTTAATGAGGATTCTGTATTCGTATGATTTATTCCCGTTATAATCTGCTTGGGTACATAAAATTGTGGTTTCAGACTGAATACTGTATTGTTAATTTATTTATATTAATTGGTGGGATGTGGTAATGGAATTCAGTGAAATCTGCTTAACCATATCAAAGGAAATTAGACATTTTAATTATCTAAAGACAGTTATTAATTACTGTGGTGATATAAGGATTGATTATGTCAAGTGAAAAAAATTGTACTTGTTCATGTAGACGGATAACTTGTTTTATGTGTGGGTGTTGACCAAGTTGTTCACGGTCTTGAGTTATTACATGAATGAATGATGAACTTTCTGATATTATTTTGTAGATATACTATTGATTTCTGTGTTGGCTTACATTAAATTTCTCATGTGTACTAAGACATTTGCTAGTGGTTAATTCCATCTTCCCTTCCCTATGAATATTCAGTTACGTCTGAGGGTGCGTCAGTCACTAAAAATGGGGAGGTTTGGTGTCACACTTAAATTAAGTTACAAATATGGTTAATTCTTCAGTGTTACACATATTCATAAGTTCCTTACTGTATCCCATTTCTGTCTGATCGTGTAGAGATCAGTGTGGGATACAATTAGACACTCCTTCTGTTTCATAATTTTATGTGTTTTTTGCATATATGAATGCATTATACCAGTCTGCCTGTTTCCAAAACAAAAGGATTGTTATTTCCTTTGTATCAGCAAAGTATAACTTTCGCATTTAGCGCAACTCAGAATTTGTAAATTTTCACACCAATAGCTCATCATACAAACAAAATTGATATTAACTAACTCCATGGATCAGAGCTCTTGTTGGGAACGTATGATCGTAGCTTTCGTGGCGTCTAAATTCACCGAAGTCTTCATAGGTAATCGGCCACATCAGGTGGTCATAACACACCGATGTTTCGAGAGCCGTCTTGGTCTTCGTCATCAGGGAACTGATATGTCTGTGAAGCCAAGGATGCCCCATATATGTGCTTGTATGGACTAGTAACTGTCAGACTGGCTGTTGGATGGAATCTTATTGAGAAGCTGATCGTACACTCAACTAGTCAAGAAATTCCCCACCTTTTATGGAACTCAAAGGTTCATTACTGTTTTCACAGGAGCCTGATCCCTGTTTTCTAAGATCTGTTTTAATATTAACCCAATCTATGCCTAGGTCTTCCAAGTAGTCTCTTCCCTTTAGGGCTACCAGCTAAAATTTTGTACATGTTTCTCATTTCCTCTATATGTCAGCAGTGGAAAATGGACAGAAAATTTGGAACTTGGTATCTGAAGAGTCTCAAGAGGCCAGTTTCTTTAAAACAGTATCAAGACAATTAGCAAAGTAAAAAGTAAGCTTAGTATCACCCTGGCCGCACTTTACCCCCAGGAAAGGACCCTGGTGGCCCATTGGATAGGAGGCTGGGTGGGCCCCAGAACTGGTCTGTATGCAGTGTTTTTTTTTTACCATCGGCATTTTCAGATTGACAGTTAAGAATAAGAGTTTTTGTATGAAGCTAATAATGATAATGGTAGTGAATTTTGTCGCATCAAAAATTATTTGTTGAGAGTGTAATGTTTCCTCATTGGAGAAACACAAACAAAATTGGTACACAACTTAAAGTATAGGTCCTAGAATTTTTTTTAAAAACTTATTTGATTTGGTAAATATTTGAGGAAACAATTCCAAGCACTGTGCATTACATTGTGTAATGTGATTATCTTTCATCAGCAAAGTTTTATCTTCAGTAGACCGATGGAGTATGCAACTCAAAAAGAATGCATTTGGAAAATATGTGTACTCCACGGGAATACATGTTTCTTTTTGTTATTCGTTTAATGTTGTCATAGAAACCTGGGATTTGGATAGATAGATGTGTGGAAGAGTGTATTCCGTATTATCACGAGAAATACGTCTTACGATTGTAGTATCATCATCTGATACTATTCTTTTGTCTCAGTACCTTTCCACCAGAATTGTATTAATAATACTTAATTAAAATAATAGAATACTGCATCGGTGTTCATGTTTCGTAAACTACAGATTGCACGGTTTTGAACACAGGAATGAATGCGAGTTTCAGCTTCATACAGTTACGAATTTGAAGATGGTTGTCTTATGGAATGTTGCAGTGTGTAGTCTGGAATATACTGACTGATATTTCAGAGGAGCTTACTGCCTCCATAATGAGGGTGTTATGATGCCACCCAGATGATGGTGGTGGTACAACCCTCTGAAACATTGGTCAGTATCTACTGGGCTGCATGGTGTAACATTTGAGAAGAGTCATCTTCATGGTACAAATTCGACCTGCAGACCGCATAGACGGTCAGAAATTTCTGATGTTCGGGGTGACTGGCGCTGTGATCCATGGAATCAGTTTTAGATTACACCCCACTGTTACAGACAGAAGTGTATTCTGCTGTTCTTTAATAGTGATCAAGTCCCCAGGAAAAACCAGTTCCTTTTTTATGGGGAGCATTAAGCGGGGCGGCACTGTGGGCCAAGTTTGGAATAAACTTGTGGTAAAAAATTACCATGCCAAGGAAATGGGCCACTCCTCTCACGCCTTTTGGCTGAGAAAAATCACAAATGGCTTGCGTCCGACTCGGGTCAATAGACACCCCTAAATGAGATACCCTGTGCCCTAAAAATGAGATTTCTTGCACAGCAAACGCAACTTTACAGATGTTAACAGTGAGACCAGCTTTTCAAAGAAATACTGAATATTATCCTATGAAACTGTAAGCCTTAGTCATTGACCCATGCGTTTCATGGGACACAGTTTGAGAACTGAGATACAGAGAATCATTGTGTGTGTGTATTGTGAGTTGTGACGTTGATTGAGTTGATTGTCTTCTGTTACGTAATTGAATACAAATTTAACGAGACGAGCAATTAACCCTTTGGCTCAGGTGTGAGACTTGGCATTTGTGAACGCTATAATGGGATCTCCATTGGTAATTTTTAAGAGACACTGCCATACTTACTTTTATGATAGCAGTTTGCCATTTTACATGTCTACATGCTATTTTTAATGTTATGCCATCTCTTAGGCGTATCATTCTCTAAGCTTTAGTAAATCAGTCTGTGTGTATAGTTCTGATTTTGGTGTCTTCCGTTTATCGTAGGAGGCATCGACTCTTTAAAGCACAATGTCCCACCTGTTTCAACCATCACTAACTCTTTATTTTGTATTTGTGGGTTTTTTAAGATTCTTACTGCGAACAGGATTATTTGCTTAAATGGTATTTATTGGCAAGTTGATCTTTGTAATAGTGAAAAGTTGTGTTCTCTTTGTGGTACAGACTAAATTCTTAAATATTATTTAGACGAGCTTCGGCTTCAAAGGGTTAAAATGTATTTTCTAAATATTTTATAATCACGATGTACATAGCTTCAGTCAGTAAATTATTTTAAAATCTTACTATTTGTAATTAACTGAACTTACTTGATGTCAGGAACCATTGAACAGATTTTCATGAAGTTATATAAAATCTGTCAGCACTTTATACAATTCTGGTTAAAATTTGACCACGGTAATGTACGTATTGCATGAATGCGTACTTGGGTTTCTACGTACAGCGTGCTAAGTATTTGGCACAGCAAGCATTGTATCAAAGTTATGGTGAAAAGTGAAACCTGTTATTTTTCTCATAAGCATTACAGTTTTTAAGATAACCAGCGGGGATCTTTATGCCGTCAGAACACGCCTAATTAAACGATACTTTGAGTATGATCGGCTCGATTTTGGTGGCATTTTATACTGGAGGTCCTTGCTCATCTGCCCTGCTTGTTTGATGCTATTTTTAGGAAAACATAAAAAGTTAGCATTCAAAAATTGAAATTATAGAGGCAGTAACAGACCAAATATGTTAAAATTTCTGCATTTTGCATACTCTTCCTGTTTTGTTCCTTCTTTGTTGGAGTTTTTAATTCATGTTGTGCAGTTTTATATCACTTTAAGCTCTACATTAGATAATGTTTTATTTATTTTTATTCTGCACCAGAAATAGTCACCAGTTGATGTCATATATCATCAAACTTGTGTATTTTTACAACGGGATGTGTTAACTTTCATACATAGTGGCCTTACACATGTCTAGGCCATTCGGTTACCTATGTTAAATCGTGCTCATATTTCATTTGAAAGTGTTTTGCATGTTCTGTATCATTAACATAACATTTCCCATAGTAAGGTTTTCTTTCTGTAACTACAAACTGTGTTTTGCCAAAGAGCGTCTTGTGTCAAGGACAATCATGAACCGACATGCTAGGATGTGTATTGAGGCTGAACATTCATTGTAAATTCAGCAGTAGATTGTGTAATAATGCTAAATTTGTAAGCACTGAGAATTACACTTACGTTTGACATTTCTGACTCTGAACAACCTCAGGAATAAACTACCGAAGTTACAGCCATATTTTGTAGAAATGAGACATCCTGTAAAATAAGACGGTATTTGTTTTTGTGGGTTGTCTTCGAAGCTTCATATAACAGCAGCAGCGTAAATGAGAATTCCACAATTTAAAACATGCATAGGAGAGGGTCTATAAGAACTGGAAAGTTCCCACACTGATGGGTTCAGTCCGGTTTATGTTGGATTGGTAACAAGATTTTATTTTTCTGCGTTTGCGTGCTTGAAGACGAGGAGAATGCTCAAATCATGTTTGTGTTCCTGTGCTGTAATCATGTCTAAAATGAAGCATCGTGGTTTTCTGTACCATAAAGCAATTTGTTTACTAAGTATGTTGCAATACTGAGCGTAGTGAATAATCTGTTTCACTATACAGCGAAGCTTTATTAAATTTTTAAGAAGTCCTGTATATAGCTTCTGAACTTCTGTAGCTCAAACAAATAATATGAGAAAATGAAATATTTTATGAGAAGTGTCTATCATATTTAATAGTGTAGTAAAGTAATGAACAGATGACAGTCTTTTTGTGTTTCTACTGCTCTTTAAATCTCGTTTTGTGTTTATCCTGTCGTCCTTAGCATCTTCAGAATCAGAATCGACAGGGTTTTCCCTGCACGCTCTTGTTTCATTGCTAAAGTTTTATATTACCATCTCTCTTTAAAAGTACTGTCCACAGATCACGAGAAAAACCCTGCTGGTGGAAGTCGTTTCTGGTGCGGTGCGGGGGAATGTTACTTATCAGCTGGACTAGAGGGCTGCTATTGGTGGGAAGTGTGATACGTCAGAGTTTTACGCTACTACACACAGACTGAAAACATCAAGCAGTTAAGAGTAGCGTGTAGTGAGCGCACCTGTACTGTGTTGCGATAATATTCTAGATTAAATCGCTGTGCCACTGTGAGGTAATCTTAAAGCTGTACCCATTAGAACACACGAAAGCCTGTCGTCTGTTGTTCGTTCAGTGGTTGTGGAACGAATGCGTTTAGGATCGGTCGTCACTCACCGCGACCTCTTGCACATGCGCGTATATCGAATTCCTAGCAAGGATTTTCTCCTGATCTGTGGACTGTATTTGTCCTGAAGAGAGAGAAATTGTGTTTGCGTGCATACGCACATTCTCTCTCTCTCTCTCTTCAGGACAAATGCTTTTAAAGAGAGATGGTAATAGAAGAAGGAAATCGTACAGCAATAGAATGATTCTTTTATTGTACAAATTCATACGAAGGATGATAAGACTGGTTGTAGTAATTATTGAGTGATCTTCCTCTTATCATCTGCCTACAAAATTTTATCCAACATTATTCTAGCGAGGTTGACTCCATATACCAGTGAAATTATTGTGGATCGTCAGTGTGGGCTACAGAAAAAATGGGAGTACAAATGGAGTACTATTTATAGACTTCAAGAAAGTCTATGGATTTGGTGCACCCAAACCTAGTCAGGATAATGAAAGTGTGTATAAGTTAAACCTGTAGCAAAATTCGTCTGGGTAAACATTTGTCCGATACAGTTCCTATTCAGAATGGCCTGAAACAGGGAGATGCTCTATTGCAGCTGCTTTTCAATTTTACTTTAGGACGCGCTTATCATTTAGTCCTCCGGTCTCGTATAAACAGAAGAAAGTGTAATTTTGCCATTTGTGTTGCATGGGTGCGAGGGTCTTTGAGGAAGATATCTGTACCTAAGAGGGAGAGAGACAAATCACGGAGAAAATCGCATAATGATTAGCTTCACGGCCTAGCTCCTCGCCTGATATAGTAATGAATATTCTAGCTACATAGAATGTGGAGATCTTACTGACTAGCTGAGAAAATACATTTCTTCATGGAGTTAGTTCATTAAACCAAGCGAAGTAAATTTTTGTTCCTTTATGTTTCCTTTCATTGTTACAATTTAATATTCACATAACCACATTTCAGATCCAATATGATGACCAAAAGCAAGATTTTTTTAGTGGCACTTAAAATGTCTGTCATTTTAATGCAAACGAGGAAAGGACGGTCCATGCCAACTGAAATCAACTAACCACGTCGTGGACTGTATAACCATATTATAAACGGAGAAAATTCCAGTATTTAATACCAGAGGTCCAGTTTATGATGGCATACTCGTTACATGAGTTGTGGAAGTTAACCCTTACATCTGGCAAGATGAACTATCACCACCAGTTGATTGAGATGACCATAACAAAATTACATCTGATATGCGGGAAGACACTAAGGAAATATGATCGCATTTAGATCATAAATTTGGGGTTTGATTTGTTCGTTGCATTGATGGTGATTGTAACGAATTTGGTACGAAACTTTAATGCCGAAATGTTGATACTGTTTCTCCAAATTCTGTAATATTTAAAATATTTGTTATTGCTGGTTTCTTTGTGCTTGTTATAATCTTTGAGAGTGGTAAGTAGGTATACCAATGAAGTGTAATCAGTGCGATGGACGTAACAATTCTGAATCACTCTGGTGTGGAATTAAAAACTTGTTGTAGGAAATACAATGGAATTAAGGCTGTTGAATGGTAGGTCTTGCTGTCGTTGGCTTTGGGTACACCCAGGGTCCTCCTTGATATGGCGGAAGTATGGGCTTCATTGTCAGCAGAATCGAGTCTTGCGCTCGAACCATACAGACCCAAGCTAGCAGCATAACTGATATCAGAACAGCATTCCAGTTCATCTGCAAATACAAGAACTCTGGTGTAAGACAAAATGGGGTAAAATACATTTACCGCGAATGTCGTATTTATGAATGAAGCCCTTGACAACCGAGTCATTCAATCTCGTCTTCTTAACCTCTGAAGGCCCACGGTGTGTTTTGAGACATGGCATTGGTATCCCTAGTTCATCCCCGGTAGATGTTAAGATTTGGCAGAGATTTCACATCATGCAACATTGCTTTGTGATCGACGTATTGGATTCTACTACATGAAAACATTATCGGAGGATGGCCATGAAACATTCGTGAATTTTTTTGTCAAAAGAGCCCCTGTTCTTCTTTTATAAATATTTTTATACACCCTCCTGCGACAACCAAGATCTGGAATTTGTAACTGGGAAAGGCGTCCTTATTTTATGCTACACTATGTAACATTCAAATTAAAATTGAGTACGAGGTTGTAAAGTATTACAATAAATTTATTAATGATTACTGATTCATACTGATATACCGGTAACATCTTATTTATATGTTGGTTCATTATAGGAAATTGTTTTCTTATTTTTATCCTAGAACACGAACACGAAGTTTTTAAACATACTTCTGACTCACCCTGTATCCCCCGAGGAATGCACTGGGTTTCCCTCAAATTGCAAATTCTGGAAGGGTTCATTTCACTGTTACGGTCAGATGCACGTTCCATATTTGCATTAGTTTCGTCATTCACATATCAGAATTCATTATCATTAAGTACATAAATACAATAAATGCTTAAATATCAGGGCCGTCGAAATATCTTGTTTGAGCAAAGATGATGTCGTATGAGGACTCTGTATCTGGAAACACTTTTGCTGGTTTCAAGTGGCCCCTGAGTCCACCCGAATCTTAATTCTTACGGACGCAGTCTCACTCACCTTGACGCTGTCGGAAAGCCACCACAGTCAGCCGGTCGACAGTTGGACGATTGGTCTCGCGCTTCGTATCTGGTGCTTTTAAATGCGTTAAATAGGCCTATGGGTCGGAGAAAGTGAGGCCCCTATCAGTGCAGTTTCTATGAATTAGGCGTAGATTTAGCGCTCAGCCAGAATAAACTGACTCTGATTAATTTCTACTTTGTGTGGATACACTCTGACTGCATAGAGGACGTGCTCCAGCGACAACGGCCTTTGTGACGTGTATATCCGCTACAAAAGCAGGGCATTTATTATCTTCAAAGCTTCTGAGCGTGATGGTATCTACAACCTGCTTTCACGATCTCTCTCTGTCAATGTGATGCTATCCAGGCCGTCTGATGGGCCACATTACGTATGCAAATGGCAGGATCTAATTCCAGAAGAATAAATTGCAACGTAAAGCATACAGAAACCAAAGGATCTGACTGTAGCGATTTCAATCCTTAATTGTGTTCTTGTCGTGGTGGGTCAGTCCACCTGCTGATGAGGGGAAGTAGGCGGAGTCAGTATAATGACTCACTACGGAGTGGACAACCGGAGTTCGATCCCCGACGGGGGCAGAGGATTTTTCCTCTAGCCTCTGCGTCCAGACCGGTTCTGAGGTCCACCCTGCCTCCTATCCAGTGAGTATCAGGGTGCTTTCCCGGGGGCAAAGCGTGGCCGTGGTGTGACGCTAACCACTCACCCCATCTAGTGCCGAGGTCAAGAATGAGTAGGAGTTATACCGTCTCTCCCTCCCAAGCGCCTACATGGCGTATAGTGGGACAAACTTTACTTTTACATTTGTACTATTTTCATCTGCTGCTGGGTGATGTGACATAAAAGATTTTGGTCTCTACACAAAATTTCTGATGCCTGGGTCCAGCGTTTCGTCAGCTACTGATATCAAACGGAAAGCTAAATACAGATTTTGAATGGACACTGTGTTTTTCGTCCTGTACAAAAAATGCATTTGTCAGGCTCAGAGGAATCCGTTGTTGGGCTCTTAAGAGTGCGCTGGTTATCTGAGTTACCTAAAGAGGTGAGACATTCAAGTTCACGGAAAACTGTGCTGAATTACTATTTCCTGCTAATATTATTAATGCTCCTAATGAACTCTGTTCTTCCGGTAGATGGTTATGAAAACCGCTCCACAGCCACGAGAAGAAATTACTTCTTTTTCTAGCGTAATTCTTCTGGGAGTGCGTGAGACGGCTACTTGATTTACTCCTATAGGTGAGAGGCTGTGCAGTTCATTGCATTATGAGACAGCAGGGGCCAAAACTCCTGTGAAACGCACATACACAAATAAAAATTTAATTTTGGGTCACCTGTGGGATTCTGTTCTAATGCGACAAACATTGAAATGTAATAATTAAAATTAATTAAATTAAATAAAGGTAAATTCCCTTAAACTAGCATTTAAAAATATGCGTAAGTAAATTCGAGACAAAACACAATTGTGTTACTTTTAAAATTTATCGCCGGTCAACAATGTAACAAAAGTGTCGGTTACACTGAAACTCTAATAATAATGTCAATAATAAAACTACAATGACAGATTGACACGATTAGTAGCGCCCATAGAGATCCCAGCTTTCAATTGTTACATTGTGTTGGTTCAGCGCGATCACGTAAGGAACTGGATGGATAGCAATATAGAAAGACAGCTGAAGACATTTCACAGCCATGACACATAACACCATCAGCTCCAGAAAGGTCATAGAAGATCACATTACTTAAAATATAAGCCCCATTTGTTATGGCTGGTTCAGATGAAGGAAAAATTAACGCTCAGTTAAAATCTCCCCGTTTCAATACGTAACATCATTTCATTATTTAATGTTTGTTTTACATTTCAGAAGTAAAAAAAAATCATTCTGACAGCTGCAATAAGCTTGAAAACAATTCCATTTTTTCGCATAAAGCAGTAGTGTTGTATCCGGGGCCCCGCGGTAAAGTCACTGCTCCCTAGAGACTTGCAGTAGATTGTCCTTGGTGAGTTATTTTGCACACGAGTTACAGCGCGAGCCTAGTCGAGCAGACACGATTACGGATTCCTGGTGGCTTATTGCGTAATAATATGATTACGGGTGAACAGAGTGATGAAATGAGAAGAGGTTTCCCCTCTGGAAGATTTGCGAGAAAAAAGTGTCGAGACGCGGTTTCAAAAGTCACGCTGATGAAGGAAAAGATCTGATGCCACATCCCGTCACGTCGGATTGGGCTTTTCCATGCAATATGATGCAACAGCCCACATCGTGGTATAAGGTGTGCCTTCAGACACATAATTGGTCCATGGTAACGCTAGCGAACCATTTCCCGTAATAAATGCAGCAGTCACAAGACCTCAGACATATTTGAGTTATACACAATGTTCCATTAGTCAGTGGTAAACATACAGCAACATATATTAATTATTTCACATGTCCAGTTACCTATTCGACAAATAATTGTTTAGCCCCGTTTATTAATATCTTTCCTTGCAATGACCCAACTTATTATCATTTTATATTCCTGGGATCTCGGGTTCGATTCCCGGCGGTGCCCGAATTTATAACTTGTGTTGGGCAAGGCCGGGGGCTTCCCCGGTTTCTCCGTGGCATCCCAACAATTACTCCATTCACACACAGAAGAAGGCAATGGCAAACCACTTCTGGATCATCTGCCAAGAACGTATATGAACAGGTCCCAGTCCGAGAAAAGGATGGAAGGATCCTGTTCATATGGACCTGTCGTCAGACAGAACACTGAAGAAATGAATACCTCATAAAGTATATAAAATACTACACATTGACATATCATCGTATGTAACAGTAGGTTAACACAGTAAATCTTCACTTTCCTTATTCGTAAGTCCCGTCCTGCCACTACACATTACCCTACGCCCACGTCCCGGACACCCCTTCCCCCACCAACCATTCGCTCTGACGCCCAAGGTTATGTTGTTCGGCCGCATGTAATCTGCTCGATTGTCCTCGTCATCTTTCAGTTGAAACCTATCGTCCATTGTATGTTGTGATTGGTGATTCGCTTTGTACTCTGTGTCTACACGTTATAAAGGAGAGCCAGTGAGAGTCAGTACACCAAAGAAACAGCAGTTGGTCTCCGTAGTTCCGATACGAGCGATTGAAGTCAGACAAAATGTCGCTCGATTTATATTACGTATTACCCAGTCCCCCCTGCCGTGCGGTTATGCTGCTTGCAAAAACTCTAGGATTGGAGCTGAACCTAAAGAAAACAGACTTGTTGGCAAAGGAGCAGCTTAAACCAGAATTCTTAAAGGTAAGCAGAAAAAATATATATATTTGAGCATGTCCGTTGGTGATCACCGTTTGGTTTGAAAGTTCGTTACAAAACTTTAAAAAAAAAAATTGTCGATAGAATCCTGCGCTTGTTTCGACACTGAGAGGCAGCCATGACAAATCGATAAAAAATGTTTTTTTCCCAGGAAAACTGTCAGTAACCTCTCATTCAGACACAATTTGAATTACAAATTTGTGGCACAAAATTCTCTAAGGAATGTACACTTGTTCGCCATGACCGTTTTTTCTTCTCCGGAGTTGAAGTGGATTTTACCGGAAACCGCTCCATGGTCAGAAAAAAACGTTATATATGACTACTTTGTTTAGTGTAATTCTTCTGTGAGATGATTACGTAACGTGGCCGTTTTTGTAAACCACAAGAGGAACAAAATGTTTTGTGAACATTCCGTGGTACTTCCCTTGAAACAAACAATGTTTACATCAATCAAGAAGCAAAGGAAATGATACGAAGTTATTAGGCAAGTTAATAAAACAGTCAATAACTTCGATTCATGTTTGTTTCAGATCAATCCTCAGCACACCGTCCCAACGCTTGTAGACGACGGATTTATTCTTTGGGAGAGGTGAGTTCCGGTGAAGCAAAATGGGTTTTTTATCAACACATACAACAAATATTCTTACTGTGGGATTAAATGGCAAATCAGATCTGGCCATTAGGTATTTCTACGTAAGTGAAAATGCTGTTTGCTCTCCGAGAAAGTAAGTGTAAGCAAGTGCATCATTCACAGAGAAATGGCAGTCGAGATCCACAGAAATTCACAACAGTGGAGCGGTGGATTTCTAGCAAACGCATAATACCTGTCGTTATGGATACTTTGTGGTAAACGAGATTGGAAACGCGTACTCCGTACAATACACAAAAATAAGTCCGAAGATGGCTGTCTTCTGGGTTGTACCTCCTTGGCAAGGCTCTAAAACCCAAAAGACTGCCACCTTTAAATGCAACGGCCGAAAACAAGAATAATAATAATAATAATAATATATACAGAGGAAGTATATTCTTTAGACTGTATGATATATCGATTCCTTTTTCCAGCAATTGCAGCGGAATCGATTTATCATATTAGCGTCCGAGAGTTGATAACAGTTATTAACACGCTGTATCAAAAGTGAAAGTAAACACCATTCTATGGCTTCACAAAGTAATCTTATATTTTATAGCCACGCCATTCTCGGCTACCTGGTAAACCAGTACGGCAAAGATGATTCACTGTATCCCAAGGAACCGAAGAAACGGGCTGTCATCGACCAGAGATTACATTTCGACACTGGAGTTTTATTCCCAAGGTTGGCAGCATTCTGCGTAAGTTCGGTCAAAATGTCGGACTACTTCAATGCCCTGATGCAGTCCTCTACGACTCGTGAGAGTTTTCTGTCGTTTGTAATTGTTACAGCTCGGACACCGAGGGGGAAAGGTCCCCGATGAGGAAATAAGGACCAAAGCAGAAGAGGCGTTGGAGTTCTTGGACAAGTTTATGGAAAATCAGGAATGGGTTGCAGGAAGCAGCATTTCCATTGCTGACTACTCCGTCGCAGCTGACATATTACTTGCTGATGTAAGAAAAGTAACACACGGCCATCTTTTCTTTCAATATTGCACGTGTCCTATCAGAATTAACAGCGCGTGTCCGAATAACAGCAGCAGTTTTTAAATTAAAATATTCACTTTCGTGCGGAAATTACGTTTTCAACTATACGAATGTTTTATTCAGGTTGATGCACCGAGTTGTAAGCTTAAGCGAATTTCTTTAACTCATTCAACGACTGGTAGTCACTTGCAAATGGACAACAGCTGTATTTTCCCAAACAACAGAGTTCATTTTGAAGGCGTTATTAGTTTTCAAACAGTTTTGATTTCAAGTCGTCGTTGTAGAAAATGTTTGCCCTTTTTTGACTGGGCTAATTCTCAAATCATGTGACTAACTGCACAGAAATGTTGCGAGGGCCACATTCGGCCGATAGGCTGCAGGTTTCCTGCCCCTGGCATAAGCTATGGGCGTGTTATTGCAGACAGCACTCTCTGGAAATGAGTGACAGATCACGCAGATTAGATCGTACATGAGTATTATCTGTTTTTCGACCTTCGTCGCAACTGTCGTAAGAATAAAGTTAAGTCTCTTAGTAAGAATCTGCTACTTACGTAATTTATGTGGTACGAAGGGGATAAATGGAGATGAACCTGTAACGCCACTCTCTGTGACTGAGTGGTTGATGAATTTGCGTATACGCAAAGATGCTGACGTAGTTTGTAACCGTCCCTTGCCTTCTGACTTACTGACCTAGAATGAAACTTAACTCCCGTATATTATTTGAATACATCTAAGACAGATCCTAACTATGTTTATTTGAACACATTACAGGTCATTGACTACGATCTCAGCAAATTCCCAAATGTTTTAAAGTGGTATTCCGAAGTGAAGAAGGCAATTGTGGGTTACGACGAGATACAGGACGCTGGTGCGGCCGGGCTGAAGCAAATGTTGGCCACCCCTCCACAGTGACTCTCCTTGTGTGCCATATTTGTTTGTTGAAGTAGTGATATTAAAACTGTATTGAAACACTTTACCCGTCATTTTTACCTTGGACTCTCAGAATTTGGCAATGAAACTTCTGTTCAGCCAGTGAAATAATTTTAAAAATGAGTATAATAGATGTTCAGAAGTGTAAATACACTGCTTATATTTACATTGACAATTTTTTTTTTTGAAAGAACGATGAACAGTCACTGAATTTAAATTAAGTCTCTATTGGTTTCTGTAGTGAAATGTTTTACTCCAGTTTTCGTGCCCACAGAAAATGCAGCATTGCGCGTTCTTTGTGGAAATGGTGGAACAGATTTTGACGTAATCTCATACGAGTGTGGAAATATTAAAATAATTTCATGCCACTCTTATTTTTGTGCGGAAAGCAAAATGCTGGTCTGAAGAATTTACATTGCCAATTTTGGGAGCTCTCCCCCTTTTTCGTAAATAATGAAGACATTGTTCCTTTTCATTTGCATCATATACAGTCGTTCATAAGAACGGCGACACTGTAAATAGGATATAATGAAAAATAAAGAAATCTAATTTCACATGACAACGAAGTGTAAACATACACGAGATAATACAGAAATGGACTTGGTGCTGGAGAAGTTGGGGGTGGGGGGGGGTAGCAGTGCTGCCATCCTGTTTGTGTGTCAAACGGATTCAATGGTCACACTGGCATATCGGGTGATGTCATACGAACAGATAGCAGCTGTTCTACGCGACAAATGTTTTTCTTTCTTCATAAAAACCACGAGTTATGTAAGAACGCTTTGTTCATTGTCATTTGCATTGTACCGCGTTGGGTTCCGGTGGGAACAAATGAGTTTCGGTAAACGTGTACGGTGTAATAGGGTTGATGGTTGTTTTCGGTGATCGCGGAGGTCATCTAATTCGACGACACAGTTTTATCCAGTCCCCATTTAGCAGTCATGTGTATAGTCCGCAGACCAGGAGAAAATCCCTGCTAGGAATTCGATATACGCGCATGCGCAAGATATCGCGGTGAGTGACGGCCGATCCTAGAAGCATTCGTTCCACAACAACTGAACGAACAACAGACGACAGGCTTTCATGTGTTCTAATGGATACAGCTTTAAGATTACCTCACAGCGGCACAGCGATTTAATCTAGAATATTATCGCAACACCCACAGAACACATTAGAGGTGGACTCACTACACGCTACTCTCAACTGCTTGATGTTTTCAGTCTGTGTAGTAGCCTTAAACTGTGACGTATCACGCTTCCCATCAATAACAGCTCTCTAGTCCAGCTGATAAGTAACATTCCCCCGCACCGACCAGAAACGACTTTACCAAGCAGGGTTTTTCTCGTGATCCGTGGACAGTATTAGTTTCGACCACTTACAAAGAACCACCTGAAGATGACCTATTAAGATCGAAACATGTAGTGAATTTTAGTAACAATTGGGATTACAATGATAAAAGCTTGTTGTGTAGACGGAGTACCAACCTAACAATGCACACACAAGTTTGAACGATGATAAATTTATTTATTTCTTCTACGTCAGATTGAGTTTTATTTCTGGTAGTACTGAAATGTTTTTTTTAAAAAAAATTGCTTGTAACACTCCATTCTTACGTTCCTCACGTAATTTATTTTTTTTTCCTTCATTCTTCGCATTCCTTTTGCGATAATTGTTACTTTCAACTTTCCGTCATATTTTGTACTTGCTTCCAAAAATGTGCGAATGCAATTACTCCAATTATCACTCATAAAATTTTGTTGCAACCTAAATATTTTAATTTCATTATGTGCACAAAAATGCAGGAAACGTGACAAATCTTACGTCTTTATAAAGCGGATCGTAACCTCCAGTAAAGTTCGTTGTTGTCAATTTCTGTCATTTGGTATCCATAACCGCTTCAACATTTGAACAGAAAAATCTATAAAATTAGAAGGAAACATTGTTAATTGTTTAAAAGACATGGTGACGTAACAATTTTGTTTCCAAATGGTGTTCGGAGCGTGACTCGGCAACGCTGAGTTGTATCTGTCATATTTACTAAGTCATTTCCAATCTCGAAGTGTTATACTTGCAGAGATAAATATTGACTTTTTCGCTGCGTCACCGTGTGCCTGTTTACTTACGTAGGAACTAGCCGGTTTCAGGAACGTAGAAGCCACACGCAGCTGCACCAGCCAAGATGACGGTCGACCTGTATTACTCGCTTGCCAGTCCTCCCAGTCGATCCGTTTTGCTTGTTGCTAGAGCCCTAGGCGTCGACCTCAACTTGAAGGATACATCGGTGAAGGACAACGAAAACAGGACGCCAGAGTTCCTCAAGGTATATTTTATATATTTATTTATTTAGTGTTCTGTCTGACGACAGGTCCATATGAACAGGATCCTTCCATCCTTTTCTCGGACTGGGACCTGTTCATATACGTTCTTGGCAGATGATCCAGAAGTGGTTTGCCATTGCCTTCTTCTGTGTGTGAATGGAGTAATTGTTGGGATGCCACGGAGAAACCGGAGGAAAACTCCGTGTTGCCTAGACCACGGCCTTGCCCAACACAAGTTATAAATTCGGGCACCGCCGGGAATCGAACCCAAGACCCCAGGATTACAAGGCCAGCGTTCTAACCGCTAGAAGGAAAATAAAAGTTGTGACGACAGCCATCACCAAATTGCAGGCTTCAAGGCGACATAAGGACTACAGCCCCTTTGACTGCTACAAGTCAAGATTACAGCGTTGCAAACTTTGCTACTATGCAAGTTGTGAACTGTCGTCACTCACCTGGGCTCCGCTGTCAGTTGAGGGACGTTGTATGATTTTGCTGTGATCTCGAAGCATACAGGTCGGCGACGGCTGGTACTATGATACAAAAATCAGCATTTGCCAGCTAATTGAATTGCTTTTCACTCTATAAACAATAACATCTCCTTTACAGATCAATCCTCAGCACTGTATCCCTACGCTGGTGGACAACGGCTTCGCGCTGTGGGAAAGGTGAGGTGACTACAAGCAATTAACAAATTCTCGGTAACACTTAAAATGAACGGAAAATGAGACAACATAACGAAAAGCTGTCGTAGTTTGGGTTCAACGTCTCTTTAAAATAAAATAAATTAGTCTCGTTTCCCGTATGTAATCATCTGCCAGATAAAAATGATTCATACGAGATACAGCGTGACACGAAATTTAGCTACCAAGTTTAATTATTCATTTCTTTTGAACGATAAGGCGTAGAAATCGCATTCAAAGAAGCATTCGGTGTGTTTACCAGGAACTCTCTTCTGACCTTTCCTGGTCTTTCAGAATATCGACTGTTCTCTTCGATTATGGATATCGACTGCTAGAGCGAAATAAAAGTTATGACCAAATAGTGCTGAGCGCTGCAGTGTGCCAACAAATCTTCAAATTATAAGCACTCTTTGCCGAAAAAATTGAGTTTAATAAACCTGGTGGAAATATTTTGGCTCATTCTTCAGTTTTACAGGAAGTGATAATGTTTGGATTCATCTGGCTTCGGTTAGGGACCAGTGACAATCAGCTTGTGAAGAACGCCCTGCTCTGAGTTATACCGACTTTTCTAATTGGTCCTATGTTAAATCTTATTGCGCTGAGTGACAAATAATACTTTGTAGTATCAATAAACAAGCTTTGTTAATGTCGTCAGTATTTGTCAGTATCGCTGTGAAAAAACTGTTCGTCTTAATGCAGAACGTGTAATCAACCGACACGCTGATGAACAGCTGGATGGCTGCGTGTCAGTAGCAGCTGATATTAAACGTGATACCGTAATATTAATCCAGCAAAAGTAATGTCAGTGACGTCACTGTCTATTGATCAAGGTAGTTCAAGGACAAGTGAAATTGAAGCAGAAATAAATCGATAGAATTTTTAATAAACTTTCGTCGTTTGTATATCCCAGCAGCACGAGAGTCGACTAAAAGGAATTAAAGTGGTTTTAAAAGTCTAAGTACTCTTAACACGAGGCTCATAAAATCTATGATGACGTAGTAATGAACTCCTATTTTCTCTTCTAGGGTGCATCATCATGTTCGCTTGTAGGCACGTACCAAAGTTCCGGAGG